AGGCAGAAGGTGAATTTTTGCCTTATTCTTTTAAATGCATTCAAAACTTGATAGAGGGATGGTACTGAAAATCCTGACAGCAGAAGTGTGTCATAGAGAAAGATGAGAACTTGTGTGCCCGCCCTCCCCCGCCCCCACACACACACACCGCTTTTTTTATTTTGTTTTTTGCAGCAGTTAATTAGGGCTGTTCTTCATATTTATCATTTCAAAACTTCGTTTCTAACCATTGTATTTTTGTTTTACCCACATTTACTCTTTCTCTATATAAATATAGTTGAAGAGAAGAGCTGCAGTTATATGAACAAAATCCCTTATTTTCTTCAGATCTAAATTATTCACAAGTTACGTTTTATTTGTAAAATCCTTCACTCTTTCTATGAAAGGGATTCAAATGTGAATCACAAAGGTTTTGATAAGTAAAAAACTTGTTTATCTGATTTTAAAAGTCTATGACTCTTGAAAATACATATAAACAAAACTGTTCCTCTTAAGAGTCAGAAATCTGAGATGTGGTCATCTTGGTCTCTCTGCTAGAGTGAGAGAGTTCACAAAGGGAAACAGCATAAGGTTTGTGAGAGAAAAAACTAATGTCTCTAAAGTTCAGTTTTTTCAACCTCTTAAGGATAATGGTGAGTGTTTCAAGTGTTGCTAAAATCCTATGTCATTGGTTATGTCGTCTTTTGGAATCTTACAGGGAAAAAAAACTTTGCAGTTAAACATTCAAACAAACAAAATGGACAGATGTTGAAAAATACTTTTAGGCTTTCATACCAGACTCTTAAATGTTCTCAGTTTACAGTTGCCATATCATTGATTTAAGTCAGTGTTTCACATAAAGGTGACTCTGCGCTCTGGTTCACACTAAAGTATAATTGCAAGTTGCTTGGTCAAGTGGTAAATGTAATTGAGGTGGTGTTTGCTTTCTGTAGCCAGCTGGTTATGATGTAATCATTGTCTTTAGGAAATGGAGCTTGTACCTTTGCTAAGAAGGAGGGCAGACAGCAGTCACTGCAGTGGTACTGTTAAGAGGGTATTTGCATAATTCTTGTTTTAAACTGTCTGTGCTGAATAAAGTGTTAGTACAGGGTATAACTTGGCACAGAAAATTTCAGCATGCAAAGAGCACTTGTCTTAAAAACAAACAAACACAAAAAATAATACAATTTTTAAACTATTTCTCCCCTGTCCCTATTGTTTCCTTCAAGGGAATTGTGGTTAAAGTCCAGTTTCCAGACAGATTGCAGATCTTGGGGAAATTACTTAAATGGTACAGCCTTATATGTCTAATAGCCTAGTTGGTTGTCTCCAGGCAGCTAATGCATTCAGCATTCTGAAATTATAAGTAAAATATCAGAAAGGTAGCTAGACTTACAGTAAGGTCCTGGATTTGGGCCTTTAACCTTGATGTCATGGTAATGTGGCCCACTACTAGTTATTTCCTTTTAAATGTATGTTTAAATAGCTAAGTCAGGTAGGCCATATGTGAGCAAAATGACTGCATATCAATCAGGCAGAATTACCCCCTTAATTGTTCTGAGGCACAAGCCACAGATTGCTTGTAACGTGCAAAAATATGACTGAGCAGAGATGACTGAGCAGTGCATGCTTAACTGACAAATACAGACTTATTATGATGATTGGTAGCATTTATGTGGCTTTTCACCATAAACGTGTTTTTACATTTTTTTAAATATAACCCTTTTAAAGAGTCATGCTTTAGTTTTTACATATCGAATGATAAATGGGTTAGAGAATATTTAAAATGGACTCTTCTGCTGTTAGACTAACTTGTTTCCCCAGCTGCCTTTGCTCTAGGTGAGGATGGTGCTTTGGTATGTCATAGTAACTAAATGTTGGCATTTGGGACTCCTCTGTACCATGAAGAGCTTTTTTACATTTGCCTTATTTAAAAACTAAATCCCAGCCACTATTTACCTGACTGAGCAGTTAGGATGTGCTCTGAGAATTTAGTTCAGATAGCGTTGTGTGTCTGTCTCTCATTTGCCTTACCTGTAAAAAGATGGTGTTTCTAATTGCCAGCCCTACTATCTGGGATCTGAGAATCAACTTGGGTTATATCTGAATATAATTTGTCAGCAAGAAAGATTCTGCACCAGAACTTGTTTAACAATTCAGAGGATAATGACTGACCCAGGGTAAAATCCATTTCTCCCTCCCATTGGCTCTGCAAGACTAATGTCAATATTAAAATCTTATTTTGGCACTAAAGTGGATGCAATATATATTACTGAGGATACAATTTAGTCACAGAGGTCATGGAAGTCATGAATTCTGTGACTTTACCAGGCCTTCTTGACTTCTTTAACTTCACCCTGTTCACTAGGAGGGTGGTGAAGCACTGGAATGGGTTACCTAGGGAGGTGGTGGAATCTCCTTCCTTAGAGGCTTTTAAGGTCAGGCTTGACAAAGCCTTGGCTGGGATGATTTAGTTGGGAATTGGTCCTGCTTTGAGCAGGGGGTTGGACTAGATGACCTCCTGAGGTCCCTTCCAACCCTGATATTCTATGATTCACCCAGGGTTGTGCACCACTCCTCTGCCGCTGGAGCCATGGCTATCTCCTCCGCCCCCACCCACTCGTGTCTGGAGCCAGAGCTGTGCCCCCCACCCCTGTGGCAGTGGGGCTCGGGCTGTCAGTCCCCCATGGGGCTCCAGCTGTCATACCACCCCCAGCAGCTGCCCCCCCCCCCCCAGTTATTTTAAGTAAAAGTCACAGAGAGGTCATGGCTCCTGTGAATTTTTGCTTATTGCCCACAACCTGACTGTTGTTTTTAGTAAAAGTGACAAAATCTTAACCTTACATATTACGCACAGGGAAGAGACCTGTCGAGTAAGAAGATGCCCTTTTTACATAGTTGCCTTTCCGACCATACTCTAAGCAACCCAGTACTGTAGAGCAGGTGGAGAGCCTGCCAGGGTTTTAAAGAACACAATAAGACTTCAGAGAAGCTAAAATTATTTAACCATAAAAGCAGGATAGAGGAATACCTCCCCCTGGACAAATCTTTACAGATAGTCTGTACGAGAAGTAGCATTGGTAAAGGTCTTTTTACATCCTTTCCATGCCAACGTTGGTGCAGAAGGCAGAAACCAGTCCTTTGCTGCTGCTCCCCATTAGCTCTGTGGTGTTGAGATCAACTATTCTGCCCTCACTACTGAAGGGGGTTCCTAAGATTGCTCTTGGGTGCTTTCATTTCCACTTGGCAGCTTCACATGGGGGTATATGTTGGCATCTGCAGTACATGCTTTAGATATGTCAAATGCTTCCTTCTGATTCTGGTGGAAATGAGCTGCTGGTTAGTGATTTCTCAGATCTCTTCATTGGTGGTTTTTTCCAACCAATGCCCAGACTCTTTCATAGGCACTTACTTTCAAAGGTGTCTGGTTTTCTGACTAACATTTTAGTAGCTCTCCAGCTCTCACAGCCGTGTGTTAGCACCGAGATTACTTCTGAATTGAAAATTCTGTTTTGTTCTGGCACTGTATATTTTTGATTTCCATAGGTGGTTGAGTTTAGTGTATGCTGTGGATGCGTCTCTGTTCTTGATGTCACTTCCTTCTTGAGGTCTCTGTTGGCTAACGGTGCTGCCCAGGTGGATGAACTGTTTTACTTTTTTGATATTTTAGCCTTATAACTTGCTTAGCGTGTTATTTTTGCCAAGTTGTCTGTCTTTATAAGTTTTTATGGGCCTCACTCACTAGTGCAGTATCAGCAAAGTCTAGGTCTTCTAGGCATTTTCCATCTGCCCATGCTGTTCTGGTGTTTGTGTTGCTAATGCACTTTGTTATCCAGTCTTTTGCAATGCCAAACAACAATGGAGATAAAATGCAGCCGTTCAGCACCTGTGTCCACATTGAACCATGTCATCTGGTTGTTCAGATTTAGTATTAGCCATTCTGTAAGGGGATTTTTTTCAACATTTCAGTATATCTCTGTACTGGGTTTTGTATTAAGGTCTTGACTCTGCAAGCATAGTTGTAATTTTTCTTTAGGACTTCAATCTACCATATCCTCCAAATCTCAGGTTTACCTTTTGACTTTAATTTTGTTTAAAATATCAGTTAAGGAGTGAACAGAGAGGTAGTGTAGTAGCGTAGTAAGCTTTAAGCTGCCTCAAAGTTATTTTTAATTAAGAAAGCTAAAACATTGAATTCTGTTCTTTAGAAGTAATTTTGAGGAATTGTTTGCCCCCTCTGAACTTTGTCTTTTAATAAGTAAGGAAGCTTCTGCCCTGAATTGGACAATCAACGTTTCTTTTTGCTAATCCATAGAGCTGTTCTGCTGTTCTAGTAGGTTTGATCATCCTGCACCTTAGTATTTATTGTGTAGATAGTATCATCAATTCAGGACTCTTACCTTATTTAGTTACATAAGTAGGCTTTGAAGGATCAGATCTTTTTCGGTAAATGTCAGTAAACCTCAATTACACTATACACACACAAACTGAATATTTCTAGCGATAATAGAAAGTTACAGATAAGCAAAGTAAGAAAAATGCTGCTTGAGAACTGTTTGATTTAAGGAGATTTACTTTGTTTGTTTGTATATGTGATATTGGCAATTTGTATTTTAATGGTAATAAAGCTTTAACTTTTTGAATCTCTACATCTGCTGTCATTAAATAATTGACTGACCACCCCATGCTGCCCTGCGACTGTGGACATTTAAATAGATAAGTAGAAAAAAAAAGTTTAAAACTTGTAATTTTTTGCAACTGTGAAAAATTAAATGGACAAAAAATGCTTAAAAATAAACATCGATATCAGAAGTTGAATTCTGCCAAGCCTGTACAGAACATATATTGAATCTTAGTCTGTCCTCCCTTCGTTCCTTCAAGGAGGAAGGCTTGTCTGTGTTTGTCAGGTGCTTATGTTGCTTGAATAATAATCATTATTACATGCTGAGCTGCTTGTAAATGTGTGTTTGTATAGTACTTGCAAACCTAGCATTATTTTTCAATGTGTTTTTCTCCCCCAGGATGTTTTTGAGATGCGCTTTGCTAAAATGCCAGATGAACCTGAAGAACCCATGATTCCAGCCTCCTCTCCAGTAGTGGTGCCACCCCCAACCAAGGTGGCCCCCCCTTCGTCCAGCGATAGCAGCAGTGATAGCTCCTCCGATAGCGATAGCTCATCAGATGATTCTGAGGAGGAACGAGCTCAGCGACTAGCAGAACTCCAGGAACAGGTAGGTAATGTGTTCTGCGGGTCTAGGGGCTAGAGCAGGGGGAACTAGGAGTCAGGCATTCTCAACTCTTCTACTGACTTGGGTGACCGTGGGCAATTTGCTTTAGCTCTTTGCCTTAGTTTATCCATCTGTAAAATGAGCTACCAGCTTCCCAGGGGCTGCGAAGCTCAATTGTAAAGTGCTCTGATATCTGTCGTTGAAAGGGCTTAATGGGAAAAGTATTAATAAATATCGTGATGTCTTTCAAAAGATTTGATTATGTTCTATTTAGTACACATATAATGTTCAAAAAAATCACAGCAGCACACTATACCTTGCCTTGAGCTAGGTAGCGTCATTTGAATGGATAGAATACAGTTTTGGGCTGGCTCAACTTAAGACTAAAGTGTGGCACCTGAACTTATAAAATGGGGCCTGTAGCCACCACCTCTGATAGGGAGGTGCAGCCCCGAATACAGGCAGTGCTCCATCTGAATCATTGTAGCCTCACAGGCCCTCCTCGTCCATTAAATCATTCATTGTCAATAGCATTTAGTGTCCAACTGGCGCAGAGGAAGTGGGCAGTCTGTTCTTGGCCGAAAGGTGAGGAGAGTAGTAACTTTATAAAAACTTCCTACCCCCTGTCAAGCGGGTCAGGGTGCTTTAAAGTATAATGAAAAAAAAATCAGTGTACAATAAAAAGCATCTAGAACTGACCCACTTAATAGTCAAAGAGATGAAAGCAAGTGAGAGTAGCCAGGCCAGAAAGGAGAAGAAAGGAATGAATATGGGAGTGGAGGTGATGCAGAGCGAAAGTATCTTGATCTTTGTGTGTCTGCCTCTTAGCTTAAAGCAGTGCATGAACAGCTCGCTGCCCTGTCCCAGCCACAGCAGAGCAAACCAAAGAAAAAGGAGAAAGACAAGAAAGAAAAGAAAAAAGAGAAGCACAAAAAGAAGGAAGAAGTAGAGGAGAATAAGAAAAGTAAAACCAAGGAACCACCACTCAAGAAGGCCAAGAAAAATAATAGCAACAGCAGTAACTCAAGGTCAGCTTTGTGTCTGTCGTATCTTGCAGTTTTTGTATTTTACTGCACTGAAGAACAATAGAGAGTTAGAGACAACCTTCTTGCATTCAGAATTACTTCAAACAGTAACCCCTAGTGCCTGTGATGGCTCACTCTGGGGTTTCTAGCTTCTGTAAGGGCCTTGGCATTGATAGTATCAGTTCCAGGAACACGTGTTGGTGCAGCCCCCAATCCGTTGTGCCTCAGTGTGACAGTACTTGTTTTCACTCATGCACCCCTGTGCTTCTGTGTCTGGCTTGTGGGGCTGCCATTAGTATCCAGTATGAGATATGATAGAGAATTAATTTTTGTTCCTCTATATATTGTCACTGTGACATTGAATCCCAGATCCTGGAGTTTTTTAGATTTCATCTATCTTCCCCTCCTGGGTGCTGGAGGGATTGGCTTGTCAGGGAAAAGGTTATGAGCTAGATATTTACAGTTGGGTAAGTGACAACTCAGCAGAGGTAAAATATCCAAGTGTTTCAAGTGCATAACCCCCAGCCAGGGGGAGGAACTATTTACAGTGCAACAAAGCATCATAACTTCGGGTAATGGGATGAAATGAAGAAAGGGGAAAATGTAGTTTGCATATAAGTACAAACTGCTTGCAGTGAGCTTGATTAGGCTGCAAAGTTGTCAAAAGTAAGGGATATGAGCCCATTTCTCATCCCCTACCCCCACCCCCTATTTAGGGCATTGAGGCCGGATAAAATACTAGACAATGTACTGTAGAGCTCAATTGTAAATTCACCCCAGGGAACTGAACTGACTGTGGCCTAATAGATCTCTTACTTCTCTAATTTCATTGGTAATCCTTTTGCTACATAGGCTGTGCATTCTGTGTTAACGCTGAGGTGCTATGAATCTGGCTGAAGTGTGACCTCTTCAATTAGATACACATCCTTTTTATAACTACAAACCTAGTTTCTCAAAATCAGTGATAGTCTAATTTCTGTATTCTCAGAATAAAACCACAACCCTAGTATATGAAGTCTCTAACAGATCGTTACTTATTCTGAGGACAGTTTTTCGTGTTTTGTTTTTTTTATGCCTGCTGCTTCTTGCTTCCCCTCCTCTCCCACATGCACATATAGATCAGGAAGTCAGAAATCATAAGAGGGATTCATATATTTAATGCTGAAAATGAATGTCACCAAGGAGCGCCTATCTATCACGTTCTGTTCTCTCTGCCCTCTTACCCACCCATTCCAATTGTACTCTTAATAGCCTACTGAAAATAAACAACTTTGATCATTTTTAATTAGAATGTAATGTAATCAATGTTACATTTAAGACATTAATATCAAGCTGCTGCTTTTTAAACTCCTCACGATTTTGGTGTTTCTATAATAATGTTTTATAATTATTCCTAAGTAGTAAGAAGGAGCCTGTGATGGTGAAGAACAGCAAACCCCCTCCTGTCTACGAGTCTGAGGAGGAGGACAAGTGTAAGCCAATGTCCTATGAGGAAAAGAGGCAGCTGAGCCTGGACATTAATAAACTTCCTGGTGAGAAACTGGGCCGAGTTGTCCATATCATCCAGTCAAGAGAACCCTCGCTTAAAAACTCCAATCCTGATGAGATTGAAATTGACTTTGAGACATTAAAGCCATCCACGTTGCGGGAGTTGGAGAGATATGTAACATCATGTTTACGGAAGAAGAGGAAACCTCAAGGTACCTTTCATCCTCAAAGCAGTTTACTTCACATTCCAGCGATGTAGTGCAAATCTTGTGAGAGAGAGACACACACGCGCACACAGACACACACATGTAGAGAGAGATGATGCACATACTGTGTATATAGGTATTTATATCCTCATGCCAGGGAAGAGAAGAACTCATTTCAAAACTACTACTTTTCTATCAAAAGATAGATTAATGGCACAACAGCATGTGTGTTAAATCTTACCACTGGACTTTAACTCAATGGCTTGTGATTTAGGGCTCATTTTATCTTAATATCCCTGTACTTTGATCTCTAATGTAAATATTTTCTTCACTCCAAACACTTGATACAAGGGACACATCATACTACCAGCTAAATGGAATATTACATGCTGTTTCAATCTCATGCAAACTTTTCTTGTAAAAACCATTTAGTTTTCTTTTATTGTACAACAGTATTTGCTCTGGGCTGCAAACTCACCTTCAGTGTGCCAAAAAAGCCCCAAAGCACCTCTTCTCACTGAAAGAATGCTCTCATGCCAAACTGGGGTGCCATCCTGTGAAACAGTTGGCACATGTATAGGCCTGGATTTTGGATTGTCCCAGGCATGAGACTCACTACACTGGGGCTGCCATCCTGGATTCTTTCCACCAGTTTTTGGAGCTGTTTTTGGACTTTGTTTTAGTTTTTAATATATGGTTAATGCTCAGAAAAGCATTTTAAAGTTGAATAAAGCCTCTTACAGAATCAAAAGTGACTGCGCACGTAGAGGGGAGTTTGCAGAACTCTCCAATATCCCATTCCCATGCTTTTCTTTGTACTGATATATCCGAATAAAACCTTTACGTTTGGAATTCAGCAAGCCATAAGATGTGAAATTGCCCTTTGTGCTGCTGGCCTAAGCATCACTTGTAAGCTAGAAAAATAGCCTAGAGCTTGAAGTGTAAATGTCAAATGCTGCATATGCATGAAAAGCCTTCTCTAACACAGATTGCAGAAGGATTGGGTCATGTGCAGGATTGAGTATATGCAGTTTTGGACCCATTGTAATTCATTGGGTCAATAGCATTATTTTAAAAAAATACTATGCATTAATTATGGGCCAGTATAATCTAGTCAGTAAATAATGTGTGTGAACATTTCTAGCACACTTTCCTTCTGCAAGAATCTGATACATGCATGTTTATGGGTTATTTAGGCAAAAGTTGTATTTGTTACCTCATTAGGGAATTGGGAACAGTAGGGCAAACTCTTCATTTCTGCCCTAGTTTGTAAAGTTCAGGACGAGGAAGGAACATGGGAACAGGGCAGTGAGTTTGCTTTGCCCAATTGCAATAGTACTTTACTTAGTTAAGCTACTTATGACCCCAACTATAGAGCATCAGCATACAAGCAGCCCTCCATGCAATAGAATTCCTATTACGGGCGTTGTTGATTACAGGAGGACCATACAGCACAAGACTGGATTCTGGGTTATTTTTGTCATCCTTTGACAATATTGTACTATTATCTTGTTGCAGCAGAGAAAGTGGATGTAATTGCTGGTTCCTCTAAAATGAAGGGGTTCTCCTCCTCAGAGTCTGAGAGCACCAGTGAATCCAGCTCCTCCGACAGTGAAGATTCAGAAACAGGTTAGATGCAGCTTATTTAAAGACTCAGTCCTATACCTGTCTTCTGTATAAATAAATATGTTTTCAGTACTGGCTTGGTCTTTAATTTTTTTGTCTTTGTAATTAAAAGAGTACACACAGTGTAGATCCTGCATGTTGCAGTTGCCTGTATTGGACCCGACATATGAAACTTGGAAATGGGGGTATGGCATCTTGCACTTCCCAAGATTACAAGATTTTATTGCTTTTCTTCCTTGCTGTGGGAGAGCCAACCTGTAACATATGCCCAGATACTTTCTATCTGGCCAGTGATGTAATTACATATTTTTAAATTACAGTTTGCTCTTGGGGAGTGTAAGTGTTCTCACCAGGAACACTTCTGCACCAGGTCATTTTGCTGAACAACAGCTGAGGAAATGTGGGTTTATGTATAAAAAATAAAAACAATGGCATGAAACAATTCTCTTCAGGAAAAGTAGGATGAATTTAGTGAGCAGTAATGGCTTTGTATAGCTTTTCTATTCTCAGCTGATACGCCCTCAGAATTTGTGATTTAGGCATGTTAAGCTGAGGGTGTTTTTGCACTTCTGAAATAGAGGAAGAACCACACTTTAAGAAACTAAAGTGGCATTCATATGTGTCGAAGTGAGCAAAGCTGCATAGCTAAGAATTCGAGTTATTCTTTCTCGAACTGCCAGCTCTGTGTGGGTTCTGAAAGTTAAGCTGGGTTCTTTCTGGCACATAAATCACCAGTAATAAAGTTTCTGCAACTTTAACATAGTTAACTATGTCTGATGAAGATGTATGAGGTAGAAAAGAGTCCTGCTTCCACTTCTATAGCTGGATTGACTCTGAAGTGCAAACAGGAGTAAAAATAAATAAAAATGCACTTGTAATGTAAGAAATTCTGTGACTGAAGTAATACATTTTCAGGCCTGCCATTGCGTTTGGAGAGGCCTAAGAGCACAGGTGCTGAATGCATACTGCTCTAAAACTTCAAAACAAGCCCCACATGTATGCTAAATACTCGCCTCTGCTTTTCTGCCCCCCCCCCCCCCAAATCAGCAGAGATTAGTATTTATAGGAGTTGCTTTGGATGCTTACTGATGACACTTCCTACAAACACTCCGATTTTAAGCCTGTATTTTCTTTGGGGGGGAAAATCTGCACTAAACTGTAGTTAAATATAACACATTTAAGTTGCATTATATTGTCAAGCATATTTTTAAGTTAAATTCAGATTTTTGAAAGGAACTCCTGACGATAGTTCTTTAGAGGAAATTATATTTAATACTGGTCAAAATATAACTTTCAGTGTTCGCGAATGCTGTCCTCATAGTGTGAGTTAGCGGATGAGAATGTTAGAAGAAAATGGTCTCCTGCTACTAGATAAGTCTTGAGGCAGAGCTGCCACATTTACACTCAAGCCATAGACTGTTGTTGTACAATTGTTGTATTTCAGTGGCTTTATTTGACTAATGCAGACTTAGGCCTGCCAAAGCTTCTGTGAAAAACTTGTTTAGAAATCAAGTTCTCTGGTCTTTCTTGCATGACTCTTTGCTCATTCAGGTCTGAGACACGGGAATGAAAAAAGTATTGTTCCTCTTTGCCTCAGAAATTTATTCCCAGTGTGATGCAGTTGTCTGCAAAAGCACAGTTATGGATATCTTGGCCTGGTTTACGAAGTTTTTGTACTACTATTTGGCTATACTACTATAGTTAAATCAGTGCAAAACCTGTGTGTAGACAAACCCTAAGATGCCACAATATGGTAAAAAAAGAACGTACGTTCTCATCTGTCTTTTTCCATGGCAAGTGTGCATGATCCAGACAAAACCATTTCTAAGTTAAATGTTTTTCATAATCTTCCTGAGAATGAGGCAGTGGAACCTGATTCATTTGATTGGGTGGATATGAGTGAAATTGAGCTTCACTTGCTCATTGTCCTGTAATTGACCTCTTGGATTGTGATTGGCTTAGGGAGCAGACCTCTTCTGTTCTTCTGCCATAGAGCACTTTATCCTTAAGAATGAATTGCTTTATAGTTTTTGTATTTTGAGTAAGCTGTCACTAGGCAGAGCTAATTAAAACCTTAGCTCTTTATAAGTTTTATGTGGTGTATGGTATGGAAATCTGTAAGATGACAGTTTGCTCAACTTTGCAACATAACAGTCACATTAGTGCCTCCAGTGTACTCCACTGTGTACCATAACTGCACTTCCTTGGGGAAGTTCTAAACGTGACTGAACTTTTTTTCTCTAATGTTCTCTGTTCCGTAAAACTATAAGAACTGACTGTAAAACTGCTCTTCCCAAAACATATCCGTATCTCCTAGTCTGATTCCATCTTGACAGTCTTGGGATGACAGGGCCAGTGTTTTCAAAACTGGCCTCTTAATTTTGGTTGCCTCTGTTTTTGGGTGTCCATTTTGGACTTGATTATCACAGGTGCTGAGGTGCCCCCACTACCCCCCCACCCAGCTCTTTAACTTGAATTGACGCCCCAATAAGTGCCCAGCATCTCTGAAAATCGTGGCTAGGGTGTCCCATGTTGGCTACTGGAAATCAGATGTTTTTGAAAATGTTGGCATTAAGTGATTTAGTGCTATCATTAGAGCCATTGGACAGCACTCTGCCTTTAGGTATAGTGCAATGTGTTTGGTATGTGAGCCTTCTTTCCCTTCAAATTTATTTTGAAATTGCAAATGTTCCTTGGGATGCAATTTTTGGTTTTGTTTTAGCTTGTTGGCTCTTATTTTTCACTTTCTGTTCCAAAATTAATCATATAATATGTTTATAATTCTCTCAGTTTAAACATTGTTTTTAAAAACCAGCAACCCTGAACGCAGTTTGTATTCTTTATCAAGCTTTCTGCCACATAATAAAGCTACAGTCACCAGATTTTTTTTTAGTAGTCTTTGAATATGTACAAATGAATATACTTGTTTTGATAATACTTTGTTACCAAAAAAGAAACTAAATTTTTCTGGTCTAGAATATTTACAGTGATGTTTGTTTTGCTAAATCTTTCTCCTGCTTTTCTGATTAAATATAGGGGCCCTTGTTGACCCTGTACTGCAGGATAGTAACTTAATTATTAACATATAGAATACTGTTTCCCATGAATTGAAATGTAATTGTTTAAACATTTTAGAATTGTATATTTGACACCTTATGTAACTAATGTATTGTTAGTTCATGATACCCTTTACTGTAACAGCCCTGTCGTTGGCCATCCTTTGAGCTTCTCTCTCTGTAATGTTTAAATGAGCAATATGATTCTGGAGAAGTTGCTAAATATATATCCTGATAGGAGAATCTTGGAAACACCTGCACTGGTGAAGTGGAAAATTAGATTTAAAATCTTACTGATAATCTTTGCACTTCAATTTGTAATAAGATCTGGCTGCTTATGCTCCTCTTTTATAATAACTTGGTTTCTGTTTTTCCTTTTTTTACCCACTGAGCTGCTGTTTGGTGGGTGTACTTGGTGTTTTGTGCAATAGATATATGTAGTTTTAAATCATCTAAAAATCTTAATCCTATAATTGTAAATTATTTTATCTTGGTTTGGTTTATCATAAAGCACTTTGATACATGTAAAAATATACACACCAGTTAATTCTATAATATATAAGAAAAAATAGGTACACATTATATAACTAGTTATACTGAAATTACACTTCTGCTCCAATCTCCTGCAGTTCACTCTCCGTAGTCACTAAAGACAGGTTTTAATGCACTAGTACAGTGCTCTCTTACAGCTGCCTGACTCATCTCTGTAGTCCAGATTTCTGAAAAGCTACTTACATTCTGGGTTGATTTTGCTCAACTCACTTTAATCCACCTGTTGTTGCTAATCCTTAATCTAGAATTTAAAACAGAATTTATAAAGCATTCTTGTTAATAATCATGAGTACTATACTTACATTGAAAATCAGCCCTGGAAGATTTAATACCTTGAAGATTGATAGTAGTAGAGAAAACAAATTACTGGAGGATATTTTGCAGGAGATTGGACCAGGTGAAAAGAATGGTCCCTTAGTTTTATAATCTATGAAAACAGAGGTACAGGATTAAAGGATTAGTGCAGTTTAATTTTAGTTGCGTTTTGATAGTATCTTTATGAATTGTAATGAGATTGAAATTCATCCTGGAAACACCTACTTGTGATATAGACGAAACACAACCATCAAGTTAGCTGGTAACTTTCTTACCTCCTGACTTTCTATGCAAGTACCGTGAAATTTCGAATAGATTTCATTGCCTCTTTCAGTTATGGTGTTTGTATCTTCAGCCTTAGGTGAGGTTGCATGTAAGTAACCTTTTTTCTACAGAATACAAATAGTTTCGTAAGCATATCTGTTCTTTTGATCTTAATCATTCAGTCATGAATGATCAGGCTATAATATACAGTGGTGCATCCTTATGGCAGAGAGTGTCTAGAGCTCACAGAACACACAAATATACGTTAACAAGTCAGAAATTATCTTTAGAGGTGCAGTGCTGGGTCTTTCTGGCTTGAGTATCCTCTTACCTCTTTAGTGAAGCAAAAGAGCTCAGTTTTATTCATACTGGGGGGAGGAAGGGAATGTGGGAGGCAATACTTGTGGTGAACTCGGTCTCCATGTTTCATAGCTATTGTTTCATGTTTCATAGTTTTAATGAATGAAGTAATATTGTGATGTTATACCTCATCTAAAGATCTCGAGTATTATTTTGTGTTCATGCCTTAGTTAGCAAGCCTGAGATGACTCCTGAAAAGCCTCAAAGACCATTGATATGTAGAAACCATTCTACTAAAATTATTTCCATGGTAACAAACACTAAAGTTAAGGTTTCAACTTGACTTGTGTCAGCTTTCCCGCAAATTTTGCTTTTGTTCTGAAACTTCCTATGCTGTAGCTCAGCTCAAAGGTAAACTTTTGGGTTGAACATTTTGAGTCAACTCCAATTCAGCTGTGAGTTGTGCAAAAGAAAGATACTTTTCCTGTGTTTGTAATATGTATTTTTATGCATGGA